CGTTTCCTTGACAAGACGACGACTGACAAAGCCTTCGACCAGCTCACGACCATTGGACAAAAACATTGGACCTCGGTGGAAGCTTTGTCCAGGGACTGTCTCTTATACACATCTAGATGTGTATAAGAGACAGCCTCATCTCCCCGACTGCTGCCCACCCCTCGACCTCCTCTTTCCCCCCCCCCCCCTCCTTTCGCTTGCCTTGCCACGTGCACGTGCGGACATTCCTCCCCCTCCCCGCTGCCTTCTGATCCGCCTGCCACGTCATCCCTACCTCGCGGCCCTAATCCCCGGCCGATCTCACACCCCCTGCTACCTTCCCGAACACGTGAACGTGCATGCGCACTCCACTGCCCTCCTCCCCCCCATTCCCCAGATCGCTCTTCTGATCCTAATTCCCCCCCCTTCCCTCCCTTTTCCGTTCTTTCCCTCCCCGGTGCTACTCCTTCCCCCTCCGCCCCGACCCCGATCTTCTCCCACCGCAATCTCTCGATCCCGACCTCCCACTCCCACTCCCGAATTTGATTCCCCCGATCCTTGCCACTCCGCTTCCCCTCCCCGATCGCGCACCCCCTGACTTCGATTCTTCCCCACTACCGATCCCGATCCCAATCTTTTCCCCCATTCTCTCCCCACCTCCTCGCACTACCCCCGCCCAATCCCAATTCCCCCCATCCCAATCAGGCACTCCCCACCCTCGACCCCACTCCTGCTCTACTCCCAACACCGCACCCACTCTCGGTCGCACACTCCCCCCTGACTTTCCCCTGATCTCCTCGCATCCTCTTCCCCCCTCTCCATTGCCCCCCACTCTACTAATCCCCCACCCACTTGCGCTCCTTCCCCCCTTTGTGCTGCTCTTGCCTTCCTCCAACCCCGATAGATCCCAACTCTCCCCCTCCCCATTCCCCCACTCCCAATCCCACCCCCTCCCCAACCCCGACACTTTCCAGCCTCATTCCGACCCCGACTCCGCTTGGATCGTGCTTAATTGCGATCACGATCCCCTTTCCCCCCTGCACCTCCATCCCAACTTCGAACCCGCTTCTTCCCTGACTTTCCCCAACCTCTCCTCGGCTTCCCCCCGCTTTCCCCTCTTCTCCCCCCTTCCCAGCCCAATCCCCACTCCCGCTCCCCCGATCCCACTTCTCTTCCGCCAGCGCTTCACCCCCGATCCTCCCCCCTCCCCCCTCCCTTCCGTCCTTCTCTCTGCGCCCCTCCTCCCACCCCCCTGCCACCCAATTCTCCTCGCGCGCACGTGCGCGCGATCTCTTCCCCCCCCCTTTCCCACGCTCCCTTCCCGACCATTCCCCGCCCGCGCACACGTGCACGCCGGGACCTTGGCGGGAGCTGCACATCTGCTAGAAGATAACACAGGTGATCCAAATGAGTTCAACGAGACCAGACACCTCGCGTGGAGCAAAAGGACAAACGCTCATTTGATTCTGATTTTCGGCACTAACCCCCGACACCTCTACAACCTTTTTTTTTTTTTTTTAACACTGTGAGAGCGTGACCCATCGATCCTCTGGCGTGTCAGGACTTCAAGCTAGAGGCGGCTGAAAAGTTATCACCGGGATAACTGGTTCGTGGCCGCCAAGCGTTCACAGCGACGCTGCTTTCTCCTCCACCGACATTCACGGCACCGCCATCTCCACGGACCATCATCATCATCATCATCATCATCATCATCATTGTCATGACCACCATCGTTGAGTGCAATTGATCCGGCGACCTCGTCGTTCCACCGGGGGAACGATCGAGAAAACCCTTTAACAGCGATCGGAAGACCTTCCTCAACTAGGAGGAAGGACATTCATTGCTCCCGGCCGACCAGGAGCGCGGTATTGTCCATCTTTCCCCCTCTTACTAATTCCCTCCCTTCCTCCGACCGATCTCTCTCACAGATCTCATCTTTTTCCTCTTCTTCTATCTCCTCTCCTTTTCCCCTTTCCTCCTCTCCCACCCCATCCAATTGGTCGCATCATCTAAAATTCCTAACGTACGTGACGCGTATATCCTCTTTTTGTGCTTGTCTGACAATGTCGTCCATCCCGCTGTGCGGAACGCCGACATAATTCGATAGGATTAATCTTCATTCTCTCTTCTTCAAATGCCGCGACCGAAATTAATCCGGCGTTTTTGTTCAAAAGTTACGTGAAATTCTTTATTATATCAAATTCTTTCGTAAATTAATTTGAAATTTGATTTTAATTCAAAAAGTCATGAAATAAAATTTGGAATTTACTAAATTTAATCCTTCTGACATCCAATCTACTTCTATTTTCTACCCCTCATAGAATTTCAAAATTCTGCAATTCTTTTTGGATTTCTTTTGGAATTCTTTTGGAAATTCTTTGAAATTCTTCTTAATTTTACAAATGTCGATACAATTTATTAATTTCGTCTAAATAACTTTGAAATTCCTCAAATTCAATTTACTTAACTGTCATTAAATTCTTTCTGCCATTTTATCGTAAATTTTTCAATTTGCAGTAACCCTGTTCAGAAGTAGCTGGGGCACAAAAACCAGCCCCAGACTTCGCAGACCAAAATTGGTCTGCAACGGGCTGTGTGACCAGCACATACCCAGGCCCGAGCAGGCCGAGCTTGGTTGTGGGACCAAGCACTAAACTCAGGAAATTCAAGAGTCGAAGTCAACTGTCAAAGTCAAGATACCACGCCCAGGCCCTTGGTTGGATACATCCACTTGTTGTGCGCAGGTACCCAGACATGCATCCAGGCCTAAGAAAGTACAGTTTAAGATCAATCCAGGCCCTCATCGGAGTCAAGATCTGGACGGCGGCAGCCGGGGTCTAGACCCCGAGTCAACGCTACAAAAGGTTGACTCTCCTGGCCTTGACATTCATTCTGGCTATCTTGCATTGACGCTGCTTCAACGCGTTGACTTCGCAGTGTTGACTTGACGCTGCGATGCTGGACGAGCGCTGGCATTAGGCTGGCATTGGCGAGATAGCAGCAGAGC